ATCAAGCATAAAACACAAGTAAACATCATGGTATAGTTCAGGGTCAGATCAGTATCACGAAACTCACTCCCCTATTTTCTTATGGAGAGGTATATTGGATAAAACTCGGGTCACACAACATCAACATCTAACATTTAAATGACACTCAATGCTAAGTACCTAGGGTGAGACCTGGGTCGCAAAGCATCAACGTATTACCCGACTAGTCTACTCTTTTTGAGTATGTGGGACGTGTCTGGGCCACAGAGCATCAAAGCAACGTCTAATTAGAATTTAGTATGCCCTTCACTTAGTTGGATATATCCAAATATTTCTTATACGACTAGACGATCGTCATACATACAAGTAACATGGGCGTCCTCATCGTTTCCCGAGTGTCAAACAAAGGTAAAAGTTTTAATCTTACCTCATAGTGTTCTTATGTTTACAACACAATTTATTCGATGTTTCCACTTGCAAGCTTTTTAATAATGGAGTTTAACACCCTTAGACCCTTCACTCGAGTCTCTACGCAAAGTAGGGCTCATAGTCTCTTTCTTTTCGAGGGTACCGATACTCAATCCTATAGTATCAATATCGATCCTTGAGTATCAATACTTACCTTGGGTACCGATACGATTTTTGCTCTCGATGAGCTCCTCGATCTAGAACCTAAGAAATACGCACATTAACAAATTTTGAACGTTGAGCTCACAAACTTAGTGCCACACAAATAACTCAAGTATACTACATGCATTCACCATATGAGCATTATAGCAGTTATGATCATGAACAAACGGATGCATCAAGCATAAAACACAAGTAAGCATCATGGTGTAGTTTAGGGTCACATCAACATCACGAAATTCACTCCCCTATTTTCTTATGGAGAGGTACATTGGATAAGACCTGGGTCACACAATATCAACATCTAACATTTAAATGACACTCAATGCCAAGTACATAGGGTGAGACCTGGGTCACAAAGCATCATCGTCTTACCCGGCTAGTCTACTCTTCTTGAGGTACGTGGGACATGTCTGGGTCGCAGAGCATCAAAGCAACGTTAAAATAGAATTGGATATATCCAAATATTTCTTATATGACTAGACGATCGCCATGTATACAAGTAGCCTGGGCATCTTCATTGTTTCCCAAGTGTAAAACAAAGGTAAAAGTCTTATGTAATCTTACCACACAATTTATTCAATGTTTCCACTTGCAAGATTTTATCAATGGAGTTTCACGCCCTTAGACCCTTCACTCGAGTCTCTACGCAAAGTAAGGCTCTTAGTCTCTTTCTTTTCGAGGGTACCGATACTCGATCCTATAGTATCAATATCGATCCTTAAGTATCAATACTTACCCTGGGTACCGATACCATTTTTGCTCTCGATGTTTAAAAAATCCTCTAGTATTGATATCCCTATGCAGAGTATTTGTACTATCCTCTTAAGGTATCAATACTCTATTAAGTATCAATACCAAATTTACATTTGATGTTTAGAAATTCACCTCAATATTGATACTAGTGTTGATACTTCCCTTTAGTGGTATCGATACTACCTAGAGTATCGATACTAATTTTGCATTTTGAAATCTGAAACCAACCCTTGGTATCGATACCATGCCTTCGATATTGTTACCCGATGAACAATATTGATAACATATTAACAGATTATCGATACTACCTGACCAAAATCCCTAATTTTGGCCTATATGACAATTAGTATCGAAACTGTTCTTCCAGTATTGATACCCCAAACCCAAAATACTATATTTTTATTTCACGAATAAGTCACTCACACACATTTCCAAAGCGCTCTCAAGTCTCCTAAATGTTATTTAAAGCTTATGTAAGATCAAGAGGATCATAATAGGCCATTTCTATGCATGAATAACATAAAAAACACCCTATCCCTTCCATGAACACAAATGCAGACGTAATGCCTCATGAACTCATGCAAATAACCAAGCTACACATACTGATCTACAAGCATTATAGAAGAGTTAGAGGCGTGTTACCTTGATCCTAAGCTGCAAGAAAATACCTCAAGCTCACCCAAGCACAAGCTTCTCATTGTCATTGCCTTTAAAACTTTCTCCCAACTTTTTCACTAATCACAAAACAAGGAATGAGTTACTAACTCATCTAAGAACTTAAAAGAGGTATAATGATGATTTCCAAACTCTAAAAATGGATTAGAATCATCATAGATCCATAAACCCAAAACCTCTCTAAAATCCTTACTATGGCCCCCATGGCTAAACCTGAAGATATAGAGCTTGAATGAAAGCTCTAGAGGTGTTGAATAAGCATCATACCTTTACAAAATCGAACTAGAAATATGGAGCAATAAAGATTTCATCTTCAATGGTCTTGTAAGAGAAAGAGAAGAGATGAATGAGATAGAGAATAATAAAGGGGTGAAGAAAATGAGAAAAGGCATTTAGCTTTCACCATTTTCTCCTGTCGTTGATTTCATCCCAATTAATGAGATTCAACCATATTTTCAAACAATGAGTTAATTGCTTCCTTGGTATTTTCTTCTTTGGCATCCGTTCAAAAATATCCTTTTTGTGGCTATTTGGACCCAATCCTAACCCAAACAAGCCCAAAGTTGACCCAATTCCTCAAGATATCCTAATATGCTCATTCATAGCCTACTTGGGTCAAACCGAAACTCTTGACTCGAATTTGAGGTGTTACATGTATAATGTAAATATTTTCTTCTAGAGAATCATTCAAGAATGTTGTATTGACATCCATTTGTAAGATCTCATAATTGAAAGTAGTCGTAACAGAGAGGATATGGATTGAATTGAGCATTGTTACAAACAATAAGGTTTATCGGTAACTTATATTTACATGTAACCTTTAGTACTAAGTCTAGCCTTATAGGTTTCAAGTTTTCCTTTTACATATCTTGTTCTTTTGTAGACCGATTTACACCCTATGGGTTTTATCAAGTCTAGAAATTCTCAAATTGAATTAAATTTTAGTGAATCCATTTCAGTATGCATAGATTTCTTCCAAATCTTGAAATTAACATGTATATCATTTTCATATGTGAGTGGATCATCCTCTTCATCTTCAACAATTGCATCTGATCTCTAAAGACTCAAACAATTTCTATATGTTGTAAGTTCACTTGGAGTAGGTTCAAACCTTAGAGCTGACGTTGTCTATAGATACAATCACAAACCCTAAATATGGATTTTACTATTTGATTTAACACTATAGAATATTACTTGAAAAAAATACAATTTACTAAATTGTTTTCATAATATTTACTTTTTATTGTTTACTATACCAATATTGAAGTTTATAATATTTTATTTTGGTAAATGAATTCAGTACAGCTAGGACTTCACTTTTAAATCAACTAATAAGGATAAGAAAGAAGAAAAAAATATGTTACTAAAATCTTATAATTGTTGCATGGCATAAATAAGATATTTATAAGAATATATAGAGGGTGGTTATAGTTATTTTTGAATATATATTATCTTGTACTTACTCCAGACATGCTCGTTTCTAAGATTTTAGTGGCCTGGGATGAATATAAAAATTAGGCCTCCAATAATAAGTATCGAAAAAATTAAATTGTAAGAGCAAGAAAAAATAAATAAATTTGTTTGTAAATTATTTTTTAGTACATTTAATAAACTATCTAATAAATACATAGCTATCTCAAACATTTTCGGGACCCTAAGCGAAACTAAAAGATATATCCTTATAAAATGAAAGTATATTATAATACTTTGAATAATTAATTTAATATTACGTTAATAAATCGTATAAAATGGATTAAATTAGGGGCTTAAACTATAAAAGTAAAAAGTATGATTGAAAAAAATTAATGACCCCAATTATAAAGGTAAAAAGTGGTATTAAAAAATTAGGGGCATCAATTTTAAAGGTAAAAAGTGAGATTGAAAAAAATTAGGGTCATAAATTATATGAGTAAAAAATGGGATTGAAAAAAGAAAGAGCTTAATTATAAAGGTACAAGGTAGAATTGAAAAATTTAGGATCATCAATTATAAATGTAAAAAAATGAGATTGAAAAAAAAAAATTAAGGGCCTCCATTATCAAGATAAAAAGTAGGATTACAAAAATCAGAGACCTCAATTATAAGGATAAAAAACTAAAATTAAAGAAAATTAAAAGATTAAATTATAAAATAAACAATATTATAAAAAATTAGGAGCCTGAGGGGCATGAACAGTTGCTCAAGGTGCACCCCTAATAGAATAATAATAATAATAAATATAATTTTAATGAAAAGCAAAAAATAATTTAAAAATATCATATCAATATCGTTCTTAATTTTTTAATGATGGATAACCAACAAAATTAAAATGTAACATTAAGTATAATTTAAAAAAATAATTGAATAACCAAAACAAAAATAAAATAATAGATGGGTGACTAAACAAATAATTTATTATTTTTATATATATGAATTTTACAATTTTAGGTCTCGGGCAAGAGGGGACCTTGGGCAAGTGCCCCTCTTGCCCATGCTTAAATATGAGCCTGACTCCAGATTATAAAAAACGAGTCAGATTATAAAAAAAAAGATGGTGACTATGGGCAAATGCCATCTTTTTGAAATAATCATTAATATCTTAACTATTGACTGATCTATTGGTCGACTAGTCCAGATCAGATTTTACAGAGAATCATTAACTAGAATTATAATATTCTTAAGCACTAATTACCATTTAATTATTTAGCTTTAAACACAAAAAGGAATTGAAGTTCAAAGTTGGATTTGTTTTCACCCTCTCCACTTTCTTGAAAGTGTATATCTAAAAACAAAACCTCAAAAAGGAAAAGAAGAAGTCTCCAAAATTAGAATAATCAATATTAAAAACTTATATTTGATGTGTTGATTATATATAAATTCATATAGTATTAATGAATCGAATAATGTTGCTTCATTAAAAAAAATTAAAAAACAATAAAGATATGGCAACATTTGATTCATTGATAATGTATGAATATATATATATATATATAGTCAGCGCCTAGACGTCTCCTCAAATCCAAAGGATTTCCACTTCAAAATCATCCGTCTTTCATTTTCAAGGATCCTCCAAGGGCTTCAAATTCACTTGAACTCCATACTTAGGCTTTATAGTCATGATGACGACCGGAGCGTGTCGATAACTTTTCGAAATCGTGAAACTAAACCGAGAAATCAACATTGCTAAGATGATCTTCGCTTCCATCATCGCAAAAGATTGGCCGATACAATTACGAGGGCCGGCGGCGAATGGTATGAAATGTCGACCGGCTGCAAAGGGTCTCGAATTAAATCTCTCCGGATTGAATTCGTTCGCATCTTTTCCCCATAGTTCTTCACTGTGATGGATGGCCAAGACCGGTATCCATATGGACAGTCCCTTGGGGATGAACAGATCGCCTAACGTTATGTCTTCGAAAGCCATTCGAGGCAGCACTGTTGCTGGTGGATATAGTCTCAATGATTCATTTATAACCATATGCAGCTGCGAAATCAAAAAAGAACCAAATATTTAACTTGAATATTCCGTTTTCTTTATTTTTTTTAAAGCCCTGATAAATAATTCTAATAATTATAATTTGGCCAGCGAAGCAGCTAAAAGCTAAAAAGTTTAATAATATTGGGAAGGTTTTTTTTTTAGCTTTTCTTTATGGCAATAAAAACCATGTTGAGTGTACAAGTTGCAAGGGTCCTGGTGGAGACTAGCAAATTGCTATAATATTCCTTGGTTATATATATATATTTTTTAAAAGACTTATATCTAAACTCACACACACGTATAAATTATGTTGTTCAGAGTCACTAAAAAAATAAATTTTTCTTAACACTGAGACCACTCAAAGAGTTATATGAATTTATATTCCAATGTGCATGCTTTGGTTTGTTTTATAATATTCTAACTAAATGGGTGAGTTAATATATAAATTTATATTATTGATTCAAAAATATTATGTACATACAATGATAAGTTTTTTAAAAATTTCCAAAAAAAATATAAAAAAAAGGTTCAAAACGACTTTTGACCAAAAATATTGCTAGTGATGGAATAGTCTTTTTCATTAAAGAAAAGGGGAAAACCCCATTAGAAGAAAATAAAAGAAAAACAATTGAGGGTTAGACACATTTTTAACACATAAATATGTGTTATTTTATATAGAAAAAGAAGTTGTTCTCTTGAAGGATTGATGTTCTAGTAGTTTGCAAGGTATGTGTGCGTTGTTAATGATTAATGAAAATTCTATACATATACGATCTTATAATCACTCAGATCATTCAAGAAAAAAAAATTAAACATGAAAGTTGAAGTAAAACGAAAAATGGGGTCAAACATTGCTTACCAGAGTTAGTTTGGAGAGTTGATCAACAGAGGGGACTCCACCATTGCAGACCAGTTTGACCTCAGCTCGAACCTTTTGTTGCCAATGAGGATTAGTGGCCAATAACATGACAGTCCAAGTGAGTAAAAGAGCCGTTGTTTCATGGCCGGCAAAGAAGAAAGTCTTGCATTCATCCATTATCATCTGTAAATTTAGCTTAAATTCGTTTCCACCGGATCTCTTCTTCTCCATCTCATTAAGCAGATTACCTAATAGATCATTCCCATATGAACTGCTTCGACCGATCTCGAAACAATCTTTTCGGCTTTGTATGATCTCCATTAGTAATCTATCAACCTCCATCTTCAAAGACTTTATTTCTCTGTTATATTTGGTTGGATAAAACCTGCAAAAAGTTTTTAAGGATTTCACACATTTGTCACTATTTTACCTGCAAAGAATCACCGGTCCGGTTCTTCGGTTTCGTTTTTTTTTAGTATTCGTGTTCGATATTTATGTCTAATGTTTATCCATTACATATGTTAATACTCATTTAACATTCACATATGGAGTCCAACTAACATACCCAATATGACTTGAAAAAGGTACTCACCGGCTTCCTGGAAAGCAAAGGTGCCTGCTGGCTTGAGCACAAAGGTGTTGCAGAGAAGTTAAAAGATGGAATATTTGCTTGCCTTTCTCGTAACTGGTATCGAATTCGGTTCTTGAGATTATATCAGCAGTGAGTCTACCCATGTGCTCGTCGATTTCGAACTCTTTTTGGCCCGATTTCACTGCATTTTCCAGTGATTGTAGCATTCGTTTAGTGCATTCCACCATGTGTGTTGAATAACTCTGTTGAATTCCAATTTCAAAACGTTAGAAAATATAAGATACCCCTGGAGCAATATCTTTTTTGTGGTCTGTAAAGGAAGAAACAAGCGTCGGGGTCTGGTTCCGGTCGACGGGGATGGAATAGTCCGAAGATAAAATGAAGGTAAAAGCTATATAAGATTACCTTAAGCTTATTTCCCATTAATGCTGGAGCAGCAATATGCCTTTGGTGGTACCAATCTTGGCCGTTGGCCATTAACAAGCCTCTCCCTGTAAAATGCTTTGAGCCTTGCTGTTGCAGCCATGATTTGCCTGTCACAAGGTGGTGCTTTGTCATCAGTTCTTTGATCAATTCAGTCTCCGTCAAACACATCCTTGGCTCTATTCCATGCCAGTAAATAAATCTTTTCCCTGGAAACAAACACAAACATCAGCTTCTTTTTTTCCCCCAGAAAGAAAAGGAATCATGAACTGTCACCATATATGGTAAGATTTCATTACAAATCATAAAAGCCACTACCATATGAGTTAGACCACTTGACATAATGCGGCAGAAGGCGGCCGACGATGTCGTGGTGGACGGAGTTCATGTCGTTTACAGTGGACCGTGAGGTTAGATTGAACATCTCGGTTATGTTTCCGGTTAATCCCCAGGGTTTGGGGCCACCAACTCCTTGTTTCTCCATGATGTTCTTGATGCGTCTGGGGATCAAAAAATAACATTGGAGAGTATCCAACACAAGTTTGAACACTAAAGAAATGAAAAGAACGGAAAGGGTCGTTAAGCACACCACCATAGCTGCCATGGTAGTGATCTCTGCAAATCAAGAATTGCAAGTTATATAACCAAAATTATATAGTTAGTGTGAAAACGGGAGAGAGTGTAAGTGAAAGGAATGATAAGGAAAAATATTATTTGATGGGTTTAATGATCATTAAGGTATGATGGCAATTTATAGTACACACAAACCCCGGTATTATTTATTTATTTGAGGGAGGAAATAAGAAAAATAATATATATTGGGCTTTTCCGAACCAATGAATTGGATTTGGAGTTGCACAGATGGCATGTGGTTTAAGCACTGACAAAGGGGAAAAGGTAGGTTTTATTAAGGATTAATATTTAAGATATCTTCTGTATATAAATTTATATAGTAACTAATTATGTGCTGTTATATTTAAAATTTTTAATTATTTATTTTTATTTAAGAGATATTAACGATAAAATTATTAAATGATTTCAATGATTAAAAATAATATTGATTTTTTTAAGATTTTAAGTTCTAAGAGTATATATATCATCAATACTAAAAATTAAAGGTGTTCGTCATTTAACTTATATCTAGGTTTGAGTTGCAGATTTTATTTGTTGTGTGTATAGCAGTAATTTACATCTATCATAGACGTGTAACTTGTAAAAATAAATATTATATATATATATATATATATATATATATATATTAAATTCAAGTTGCTTGAATTGGTCATAGGATTGTACCATGGCGGGCAATAATGCCAATGTTGGACCCTCGTATGGAAAAGTAATAAATTGTATTTGGTGTTTTATCTTTTTTATTTTTAATATAAGATAATAATTATTATAATAATCAAATAAATAAAAGAGAACACTAAAATTTTATGTGAAAAGTATTTTTCAAAAAAAATTATAGGTAAAGGAACAAAATTTTCACTAATGCAAACGATAAAAAGAATACAAGAGGATTGCGATTTTGCATAGCTCGACTTTACTTTTAACCTTAATTTTTAATATCTATTTATAAAGATAAATACTGATTGTAAAGGAAATTTACCAAAAAAATTTATTCTGACTAGATTTCCTACTTTTAATCTAGATCTAATAGTAAAATTATAGTCTTACCCGTATTCAAATGAAATTAGCATAATAAAATTACAGTCTTACTCCAACAATTTTTATCTTAACATAAATTCTAAAAATATAAGGAATTCAAGACCAAAAAAAAATCAAATTCGAAGAAAAATTCCAACTCAACAAAAAGACTGATTTTTAACCTAGATGAAGAACATGTTCTCTACCTTAGTAATATTAGTATCCATCTCTTACAAAACTTCCTTAAGGGTATTAGTCAATATCGAACAATAACCAAATTTAAACTATGCTCATTCTGGGAATACAAAGTATTTTCAAGAGCAACATCATATAAATCACGATCTCGATTCTCAACGATATTTTATTTAATTATTTTAAACAGAATAGAATCAACCTTCAATATCCAATAATGACGTATCATGCTAGTTAAATCTCTACAGATGTCTAATTTCTTTTCTACGTTTGTTTCCAATAGTAGACTATTGTAAAAAGAAAAAAAAACAATTATATTTTTGGTGTTAGTGATCTTCGTAACAAATTTAATTTTTTTTCTTCTTCGATTCATTATACCCATAAAATTGAATTTTTTCTATCTTTTAAAAATGTTATGCTAACGGTTTTCTTTTTCAACACACAATCCTCTTTTGCTTGATTTAGTTAAGACATTTTTAATAATAATGTCACAGAAAGAAAGAAATAGCAACTTATTCGTCAAAAATTGTTGAACCCGCATAATGTAAAATTTGACATCATTTTTCTATCCTTCTAAATTTTTATAGCTTCACCTTTATTAAATTAGTTGTACCCTTTTACATTTAAAGTTCCTAACGAAATCAAATTTCTTCTCAAATTTAGAACATGTCTCACACCACCAAATTTTCGAATAATGACATCAAATATCTCAGTTTTGATTGTGTTAATATCTACAACCTTACAAGAGGCATAAAGTGATCTTGTATTGTTTCAAAATTTCTTTCAATAATAAAAATTAATTATGATTAAAACTTATAAAAATTATTACCATGATTAAGATTCCAATCCTTACTTGTTATAGAGTCGTGGTTCCTTTGTAATCCTCAACATCCCTTCGATTTATATTATACGACTTATAGCACTTGCTTTAATACGGCAGAGCTATATACAGTGTTGGAGGGGTCTTGTCCCCAATTTTTTTGGGGCCAATAATTTGTTGATATCTTTTCGTTTTAAAACTGAAAAAAATATTTTTCGATTCATTTGTTTTCAGATTTAAATATTTATTAAGTATATATAAATTTGGAATTAAATAAATTAAACATGACCTATATTTTCTTGTTTAAGTATTAGTCAATTTAGACTCTAACCTCCCAATGTTTAAGTTTTATTTTAATAGTCTAATAATTAGAATATAACTTTTATTTTATTATTATTTACAGTTGACTCTCTCAAATTTTAATTTTGATTTCGTCTATTATTACAATTTCTGAATCAAATATGTTCATAAAATTAAAATTTATTATAATTATACAAATATAATAATTATACTATAATATTCAAACACATTATGCATGTTTATCATCTAATTAATATATATATATATGTGAAAGTGGTTTGAATGAAAAATATATATTCCGACCGCGATTAAATGCTTTACACAATCATTTGTTATATAGGTAAAATACATCATTCCCCATTGAAATAATTTTTCTTCTTTACTCACCGTACTTTAATTTTCTAATTTACATATTAACTTTCAAATTGCTCTTGTTTTGATCACTTTGAATTATTTATTATTATTTTTGTATGATGGCATTTTTTTATTATTTAATTTAAAATAATTGAAAATATAAATTAAAACAGAATGTGGTCGAACGTCACCGTCGACCACTGTAGATGGAGGTCGTTCGATCTCACATTTCATGGGTCTTGTTCGCTCACCTCATGTCTGAACTGTGGTTATTTCACCATAAAATGTCCCAAAATCGATGAATCTCAATTGAAACGTTCGGCTTTTACTTTCAATCTCTAATTCATGGGCTTTAGAGCAAGTTCCCGCAAAATGGAGGGCTAATTCAGACTTAGGGTGTCGAGACAAACGACCCATGGAATTTGGAACCGAACGACCACCTTCTAGGGCGGTCAACGGTGATGTCCGATCACCTTATGTTTTTATTTTATATTAAATAATAATAAAAAATTCATGTCATATAAAAATAATAGTAATTCAAAATGATCAAAATTGAAATTTCAGTGAGTAAATTAGAAAAATTAAAATTATAGTAGATAAAATAGGAAAGAGAATATAATTCAATGAGAAATAATGTAATTTACCTTGTTATATATACGGTATCCGTCACAGACAAGCTTTTAATGTAATTCCTTTGTTGGATTTCTTTATCTTTGAAAACATGTCAGCAAATTAATTTTTTATAGAAAAAAGTGCATCAAACATTTTCAAGTAAATGATTATTATTTTTATAGTTTTGAGGTTCGAGCACGATATTTATAAAAATATTTAAATATTTATTATTAAATATTAAATTTTTTTTAAACTAATATTACCTAACAATCATTTTTTGAACTTCTAATCAAAATCCAATGCATAAGGGAGTTAGAATCAGTGTTTAAGAATCTGAATGAAATCGTCTTTGGATTTGTTCTTTTTCCTTTAAAGTTTATGAGAATTAAGTGTGGCAATGGGTCGGCAGGGTCAAGGTTATAGGCAAGTCGGTGTGTAAAATTTATGGGTAAATCTAAACGGAAAAAAGGGGGTTTGAACAGCTTTAATTAAGAAGATTAACAAATGTCACCGATGACGGAAAGTGAGTAGAGAAGATCAAAAAAATCTATATTAAGTGATTCAAGGGCTTTGTACATCCGTTTTCATATTCTCTCCATGTAAAGGCGGGAACAATTCCAATTTTTATTAGTCAGTCAAAAAGGATGGGAAGATGTAGACATGCCAATATTAGAAAATTTTCATATACGATAAGTATAAATAAAATTTCGGGATAGACATTATTGATAAAATAAATTAATATAAAAAAAATTGCATTTTAGGTTGTATATATGAAAAATAAGATTTAATTTCATTAGATTCAAATTTTATTATAAATTTTAAAATATTCTAATTATATCTTCAAATTATCAATTCATATCGTTAAAAATTATTCATTGGGTTGGGAGGGTCACCATCGCTTCTTCAATATTCAATCCGAATTAATCGGTCAATAGATCGGATACGTTATATCAAAAAATATTCATTTGATTTTGGTAAAACAAACAAAACTATTTTTTTATTATAAATTTTCATGATTATAAAGAGTGACTCAATAATAATTCAAACACAATTTTCATGATTTTTATATCGTGTAAGTGATTTTTTTCAAAGAATTTTAAAAATTCTTATCCCTTTTTAAATTTAAATAATACAACATCAAATTTAAAATTAATATTTGCTATTAAGTATCGATACTTTTGAACAATACCAATATTGATCCAAGCATTATTCATACTCTTTGGGTAAATTTTCAAAGATTTTTAATTAAGTATCGATAATGAACAAAAGAGTATTAATACTTATTTATGAGTATCGATACCTCTTAGTTAGTTTCAAGTGTTTAAAATTTTGATTCAACTTTCAGTGTGTTAAATCAATACATATATTATCCCTTCATTATCTGAATAATGAGTATCGATACTTGTAAACAACTTTTAATGTAGAAAAACTTTTGTCCAACAATCATACTCAATTTCTCGACAATTTTAACGATTGAAAATCGATAAGAAAGTATAATTAAAAGAGTCAAGCTTCTACAAGTAATAGAGATAATTTAGAAAGCAAATATCAAATTTAAGAGGCATTTTAGCTTAAAATCTGTATATTCTTGTAAAATACTTGTTAGTATTAACTGTATTCTTTTTGTTCAAGTATTTGGGGTGTGTGCTTAATTTGCAAATATTCTAGTCAAGTGAATATTTTTTCTCTCTTTTTTGAGAGAATCTTAAAATTTGAGTAGGATATGTAAGGTTAAACCTTGTACTCAAGGCTTCATCAAATTAGTAATTTTAAGAAAATTATGTGATATAAAGATAAGA